GGCTCTCGCAAATGTGACCCTTGATAATTTTTTCAAAGACTTTACCAAGGATGGAGGTGAGACTGACTGGTCTATAGTTGCCTGGGTCCTCCTTCCTCCCCTTCTTGAAAATGGGGACCACATTGGCCCTTTTCCAGTCCTCCGGGACTTGGCCCGTGCACCATGAGCGCTCAAATATTTCCGCCAGTGGCTCTGCAATGACGTCGGCCAGTGCCTTCAGCACCCTCGGATGGAGCTCATCCGGGCCTGCCAACTTAAAGGCATCCAGTTCTTCCAAATGACTCTGCACCATCTCAGGGTCTACACATGGTAGTCTGGCGTCTTGCTTCTGCCTCTCTACAACCCCATAGTTCATCCATTTGTGCAGAAATAATAATAATAATTCATCTTAAAATGTCATTAAAACCCATTTTCGTGGATTATTTTTATCGTATGGGGGCTCTTAAGATGGACATGTCATAACCCAGCATGGCTCCTGACCCGCTGCCCCTTGTGTGTGGGGCAGGGGTGGGTGTGTGGATCGGGGGACCCCCAAGCAGCCCCTCCCAGGCAGGATGTCTGCCAGCCTGCAAGAGAAAAGCCACGGTTCCCCACCTTTTTCTCTTTTAAAATGTTCGTGACCCTTTCATATATTCTTGCGACCTACTTTTGGGTCATGACCCACAGGTTGAGAAACACTGCCCTATTTAAGTGGCATCCTTCGGGAGCAGAGGCCTGGTGCTGCATCTCGCGGGGGATTTACAGTGGCCCCCCTGAACCAGGAGCATCAGACCTCTCTGATGCACAAAGCACAGGTCACCTGTGGGGAGTTAATTCCCTCCTTGGCCGCAGCAGTCATTGCAGTAGGTGACTTGATCTCCTTTATTGTAATGGATGACTCCCAAAGTCATCAGGCACCTTTGCAAGACACACACGCAGGCTGCACGTATTGCCCATTTCTTCCCTTTTATTCCATCACCATCGCCCAGAGAAATTAGACTTTCTCCCCTCAGCACTTCAATACAATTCTCAATGGCCCTTCTTTTCTGGCCTCTTAAAAGCACTTTCTGTGGACCACAGGGGGTCCAAATTCCCCGTATTCCCCGGCAGTGACCCACATTGACACGAAGGAGGCCAGATAACTGATAATGGAGGCACCCATCCACGCAGAGCATCTCCTGTGAGGAGTTGCTACAATCCTAACAGGAACTCCTTTAGGGGCTTGCTGCTCTATCTCTTTAAAGACCCTCTCATCTAGTCCCTGGAGAAGGGACGAGCCCCCGGTCAGCACCACATTCCCATAGAGATGGCGGCAAATATCCCGATCACACTTCTTAACGCTGTTGGAAATCATGGTGTGAATCCCCGGTGTATCAATGCCAAGGGTGATGGGCATGAAAAGGATTTCTGGTGCTCTGCAAAGATGAAGACCAATTCTGACAGTATTTCCATCTGGGAGTTTATAATCTCGAAGGACCTCCTCTGGCCTTCTCTTCATTTCTTGACTCCAGTCCAAAGCTACATAGCAAAACTTCTCCTTGATGTCCTTTGCAACATTTCTCTTGCCCCTGCTCAGGAAGAACTGGCCACCTGCCGACAGGACCCGCACAAGGTATTCGGTGATATCCCTGCCCGCGACATTCAGCCTGGAAGCAGCGTGGGGTAAGCAGTGCCCTTCATAGATGGGGACTGTGTGGGTAACTCCATCCCCGCTGTCCATTACCAACCCAGTAGTACGGGCTGACGCGTACAGTGCCAGCGTAGCCTGGACGGACAGATACAGAGCCGGCACCTTAAAACGCTCAAACAACAATTCGGTCATTTTCTCTCGATTCTGAAGCGGGTTCATCGGCGGCTCCGTCATTACAACTGGCCTTTCGCTGGCATTGATCCCAAGCTCCTGCTTATAGATGTATCTCCAGAGCTTCTCCATGTCATCCCAAGAGGTCACTATGCCACGTTCAATGGGATACTTCAACAATAAGCCAGCCCGTTTGGATAAGGCTCCTTCTCCAATGCAGTAGTCCTGGCCAGCTCCAGCCACTTTTGCTTTAGGATGACCAATCACTGAAGCGACAACTGACCTTGGCATAGGCTCTCCTGAGATACCAGCTTTACACGACCCGGATCCATTGTCAAAAATCACAGCAGGGGTTTGTAAGACTCTCGAATCAGACATTGCACCAGGAACAAAAGGATGAAGCTGCTAAGAAGGGGGTTCAGTTATTTCTTTCTTTTCCTTGAAACTTAGAAGCCAGAATCCTCGAGAGGAATTCTAGATCCCCGAGGTCACAAAATACGAGCAGATGCAACAGTGCTTGGCACGCCGATGGCGCTTTCTAGTCAAGGATTTTGACGATCTGTCCAAATGTTATCCTCCCCATTTTACAGATGGAAAAACAAGGCACAGAGAAGATAAGTGACTTCCCTGAGATCACCTTGGGTGCCAGTGGCTCGTCCTGATATCTGGATATCACGATTTCCACTCCTCTGCTCTAGCCGTGAGACCACACGCCCTTCCCTAACTAAGATCAGAAACTTGCTTGATCAGAAAACAGGGGCTGGATGCAAGAAGCATTGGGTTATCGTCTCTGGTCTATTTGATGCAGGAAGGCACAACAGATGGTCATCAGCCTCTTCTAACTAAATCTTTATTAAACTGAGTCATGACCTACAGGCTCCTGCACAATTAGTCTGTGCTGCTTCCAAGCCGACCCATAAAGAAAATATTGCCAGTCTGTTCACAGACAAGTCTACAGCAGAGACCACTGTAGCTATCTCCAGTTTTATGTTGCTCTCTTCTTTTGCCCATTAAGGGCCTTCAATCCAAGCAAAGGTGCCCCAGGCAACAAAGCCATATTTACGGTAAATCAAAACCATGGTAAGAAAATCCTCACAGCATCACTGAGATTCAGTGAGAGAGCCCAGAAGTATGCATTTATACAGATGTGGCGGTCTTACCAACACAGCCCAGCTCGAACGTCCCAAACCCTGGGAGCAGCACCAGGCCGCTCAGGTTTGCAACCCCACCCTGGTGTGAGGCCGGGCACCCGGGAGACACCAGTGGGGTTCAGCCGAGGGTAGTGGGTTTCAGCAGAGGTTCGGGGGTCCAGGTTTCAGGGCTCACATGAGACAGCTCGAGCCCCAACGGAGGGCAGAAGGCAAAGCCTGGGTATCAAGAGGAGAAGGCAGGGCCCTGGGTGGCCCCAACAAAGCACCCGCGGCTCCAGGAGCCTTCCCAGCCTGCTCCCCAAATCCGTGAGTACCCGGGGAATGGGTCTCCACAGGGGAGGAAGCCCCGAAAGGGGGGTCCCGAGGGGTCAGGGACCAGGTGGGCCCATCTGGGGCTGAGGAGGTACTGGGACCCTCCTCCCCTGGGAGGGTGCCAGGGTTCAGCACCCTAGGGAAACGCCCAATAGTCTCGGCCACATGGGTACCTGGGGGGCGGGGAAGACATGCATCTCCCATTTTGTAAATAGATATAGATAGGCATATATTGTTATCCTCCAATGTGGCCTGGCTTATGTCAGCAAGTTGAGATTTATTTGCATTTAATTGTTGTTATTGTTCTTGCCTGAACTTACCTGTTGATACCTGTGTGTATCTGCCTAGCTACACGTACCTGTGGTTGTTGCACGTATTTACCAATACTTTCTTATACATCTGTATCAGTTGTATATCAATAGTTATATTTTTAAAGGCCCCTGTAAACATTAATACATTTGCATATCGTTAAGCTATTCCTGGTCCTATAGGGAATAGAGGAACTGGCCAGGCTTTTACAGATCCCTCTCACAGCACTTCTGCCTAGCTACCTGTCTCTTCTATTTGGAGGGGGAGCACATACTTGGGTGCGCCCAGGTTACACACAGAAGTCCATTTTAATTTATTGGTCTATAATTGCACTCAGCTGGGGGCATGGGGAGACTGCCCCTGAGAACATGACTGACTAACTCCACCCTGTGCTGGTTTTAGCTCCCTGCAGCATCTGACCTCAGGCCTGCAAAGAGCTGCTCATGGCAAGTTCAGGGCTTTGAAGGCATAGGACTCTTTGGAGGACTGAGACCTTGGTTTAAATATTTAGAGCCATGTAGGCTTTGAGGCTCTCCGGCATGCAAGTCGTAGTTCTCTGCCACTGCCAGGGAATCTGCTGTTCCAAGAGCAATTCACTACTGAATTCCTTACCAGTTTTTTGGTCGTGTCGTAGATTTGCCATGTTTGCAAAAGTATTTCTTGATTTGACTCTTAATTGTCCCTTGCATGAGAACAAAACCATTTCAAGCTTCATTGGAAAAACCAGAGGGAGATTACAGGATTTAGAATGAGTTGTGGGGAAGGCAGGTGTACAGTACACAGACATACATATATCCATGCTTTCTAGAAGGAAAAAGGACAATGTTTGTGAGGAAGGATAGTCTGGGGCATATTGTCCATGGGAGTTAAGAGCCCCCGTGGTCCATGCGATTTAACCCTTTGAAAGTTTTTACCCCAGGGTAAACTACAGCCTGGGTGCTATGACACCCGGTGATGCTGTGAAATCCTATGAAGGGTGCTCCTTAATATTAGCTCTGTTCAGTGTGCAAACACCTACACATAATGCACTCGATAAACTTGAAACTTTCAAACAAATCCATCGTGTCCAAATCATTCTGACTTGCTGTGGTCTTTCTGAGTGCTTTGCAACAGAAGAACCGCGCTATTTATTTTCCATAATCAAAAAAACAAAGTGAAAAGGAAGAGCTGGCATTCTCCAATGGGTCTAAGAAGTGGAGCCTTAAAGGTTTAGAGCCGCTGATCTACCCCCTTCCCTGTTAGTTGTACGTACGATTATTAAAACACACCAAGCAGCAAACATTCCCGGGTTGCGCATTTGTGCATTCAAAGCCTCTTTCCAGTAGACGCTGGTTTTTATAAAACTTTGACAAGGCCTAGCATGAAAAAATCCACTGTCCCAATGGTTCAGCTATCAGGGCAGAGCTGTTTTATTTAAAACTTCCTCTGCAACCCACACCCTTGCGGTTAGTGCCTGAGAAACAGGAAGTGAAACTGCTGAAAACTTCTGCTTCTTTACCAAAGAAAAGGGCTTTTTGCGTCGCGAATCTTGCTTCTGCTTGAGCCTTTAAATCCAAAAATATTACTAAATTGTCAGCAATTTATTGAAGGAGCTAAAAGCCAGTAGAAAGCCAATTGATGTCCTTGTTGCAATGCATGGTACATGTTTCATAATTTATTTTCTCCCATCCACTTGCTCTTAGCAGGTTCCTAAATAGAGCGAACGGTTTGCAACAGCACTTCAGGGGCACTTGTGGTACTTGGCACAGCTCTCTGCCAATCCACTGAGGACCAGTATTGCCCCACTGTTCCCATCCATCACGTGAATCCTTAGCACAGCCTTTCATTGCAAAACCATAAAACACACAGACCTGCTCATTTCTAAGTCGGTCAGTACCTCCGATGGCTTATAGTGTTCACCTTTCAATGTATTTTCCAAATTGCAAGTTCTGAATCTGTTGACTACTGAGCACTGCATATTACCGTCTAAGTAGACCTGGGGTTGGAGAAACTGAGACACAGTGGGCACATCTACACGTGTGGTTTAACGCACATTAGCCTGTTTTAATACGCATTAAAGCATCACAAAAAAACCGATGCGCTTTCATTGATGCACATTAAAATAAGCTAATGCACCTTTTTCTAGTACCTCACAATGGAGGTACTAAATTGCATACGCATTAGCAAAAGCACAGTAATGAACATGTAGATGTGCCCAGAGAGACTAAGATCTTGCTTCAACATAGCAAAGCTCTAGGACAACCTGTTGAGCTTTGAACTCAGGCCCATGTCCCACTGGATTCGGGACTGTTCAAACTCATCTCCACATTAGCCTCTGCTTCTAGGCCCTCCGGCAGAGGAAAATCCATTTCTGCTGACAGGAGAGATGTCCAGCCTTTCCACAAGCAGCAGAACTAGGATAGTTTTGTGAGCAAAGCCGTCCTGGCTGCGTGTTTCTTGTCCGAGTGGGCACAGGATGGGGCGGGAGAGCGGATATTAGCTGGAAGATGCTTAGGGGTTGCTCTTTTATTTATATCCTATCAAGAGGGTGGATTTGATCAGTGCTCACCATCACAGCCCAGGGATTATTTTCTGTTTGTTGGTGCGTGTTCTTCGCCACTCGGAGCCCCCTGGCAAGAAGACTCATTACAGACAAATCCATGTATTAGCAATTACCACTTGGGCTATGATCCTCAGTCCCTCAGCTCTTGTGTCTTACCTCTGCTGATGCTACAAGCCAATTGACCTCTTCTGCTCCCTAGAATGTGCTTAGCTAATATTATCCAATTTGCCAAGGCCAGTGGAAAACCTCTGAGCTGACACACAGCGTCTGAAGTCTCCTAATGCTAATTCTGGCCTTTGATTACTTCCCCCGCTCTGGAACGAAGGCTGCGGCACAGACAAGTGGAACTTAAATGGAGGTAACTTTGGGCTACCGCGCTTGGTCCTCACGCCCGGCTTCTGCAGGTGGGAAACCATCCGTCTGCTCCAGAGGAAATTCTGAAGCGGGGACATTTGCAGTGGGAGTCGCAAAGCAACGGCAAACTCTTGCATTATTTTTATTAAACAGAAACCCCCCCAAATACCAATCTGTGATCATGACAAGGTTCCACGGCAGCCCCATCAAAATACAAATCAGATCAAACCTAACACGGAAATATAAAAGAATAACAGTAAAATTGGAAGAAAAAAAAACAACCCTGAAATGAAACAATGAAGTCTAAATGAAGTGCATCTACCATCTCAAAACAAAACTTTCTGACGCTGTCGCAACGAAGTGAGAAAGCTGAAGCAGTCCTTCCATCAAAGCTGACACTGAACTGCAAAGAGCCTGGATTTTGATGAAATTGCATTTTCCAACAGAAAACGAGCAGCTTTTTCTCTAACCCCCGCTGCATGTCATGCCTATAGGCACCTGGCTACCCACGAACACCTTGCTCTGCTTTAAGGGACACCTCTGCGGAGGCTGTTCATCAGCCACCTGCACTGCAGTCAGGAACCTTGTGCATCACACGCTCTGAAGCTTTCCCTGCATCAGGGCTTGTTGGCAATCATTTCCCATTGGTGCCGTTCCATTAGTGCTGGCAGTGGTGGGACAGAAGAGGTCATGAGACTGCCCTTGAGCAGCGCCAGAGGAGGTGGTGGCATGGGAGCTGCTCTCCTATCAGTCACCAGTGGAGCAGCAACCGTCTTTTGCATTCCTCCCCAAATGGAGACAAGACCTAGCTCTGAATATTCATGGAGTGAACAAGCTCCTGATTTGTTTGATATGGGAGTGCAATGGTTAGTGAGCCAGCATGCACAACTGCATGTAGGTTGGCCCTGCCTTTTTGTTACACAGCAGCGTTCCAGGTTAAAAAATGCCACCGCTGAGGAGCAGTGATTTTTTTTCCCCCCTTCAATATCTTGGGCATGCAGCAGCAGTGATGGAGCTAGGGTACTGGAAAGATATATATGTGTGAGGAAAGAGAGGGTTAGTTTCCAACCTCCCAATTTAGAAAACTCTGTCACTAAGTGAGTCGAAATAATAGGCAGCCCTGTCTCAGCAGTCTCTCCCAGAGGACCCCAGGAACGGCAGGGAAAGGCATTTTTCATGTTTATGGGTGTTGCATCTTTTCATTTCCTCTCCATCAGCATCACTAAGACTCTGGAGTCAGACAACTTTTTCTCGGCATCCTCGCAGATCAGCAGCTCTGGTAATGCTGATGGAGGGAGGCAGAAGACTATTTCCATGCTTATTGGAAAGATCTCTCAAAGAAATCTGCGTGTATCCTTTCCACTGACTCTGTCCAGAAAGCATGCACGTCCCACACCAGCAGCTGTGAAATCCCTACTGTTGGAGCACATGTAGCCTCGACAGTTCAGGATTTCTCCTGCCCATATGCAAGTGGCTCACGCTGCAAGGACCTTGCATGGTCTTAGCTATACAGCAGGCTCCCTGCACCCAGCACAAAGGGGTGTCTTTGAATGGGTAAGTGAGTACCTGGGGCCTCGGGCCATTCTTAGATGGCAACATATTGCCCATCAGTGCCAGCAGCTGGGCAAGACAGGGTGCGATCCCTTCCTTTCCCCATCACAGCTCTCCTAGTGAGCCCCCTCTTACAGCCTTGCTGTCATGAGATGCACCAGAAGTTGAACTAGAGTAGCAGAGGACAGGACTCCTGGGTTTATCCCTGCCACTGCTTCAGCACGGGACCTTGTGCAAGTCACATTCTCTCTCTCAGCACGGCCCCATGTGCACGGGAGCAAATTGGACTGGAGTCACAGGTTTAGGACCTCCTGAGTGTTCAGACCGGAGGCTTGGTTCAGCCCATCTCCAACGTTAGGTCTTGTAATGAGAGCTGAGAGCATGCGAATCACCATAGCATGTGGCATAGCACCCTCGAGCCCAGAACAGAGAGCAAAACTCCTGTGGAAACCCGTTCACGAGCCCAGCCTGGTTGTCCGGCTGTTGAGGGATCATGGTGCGATGTGCAGAACTGCACCCACGATGAAATGGTCTTGGGGATTCATGCGCCAGCACCAGTCAGGTTACGACTCCAGGGATGCTTTGATGGATGGCCGTGCAAAATGCTTTTAACACCTGCTGGGCAGAAACAGGTTTCCCTTGATCCTTTGCTTCTCTTATTTATCTGACCAGTTCTGTAGACTTGTTAGAGCCAGACTCTTCCAGAAGTGGAATAATCAATTGTATTCTGGCCATTACGTTGTTCTTAGCTTGCATCTAAGTATGATAGATGTGGCTACACTTAAACCAACAGCCAAGCAGCTCGCATTGGCACCGTCTAATGCATAGGTCATACAGAGCAGGGAGAAAGCCTCCCCACCAACGTCCATAGCTCTGGGATGATGCCATTCAAAGAACGATGCTGCTATTGTCTCGCCGTGTGTAAACAGAAGCCATAGCTGCTGCTGGCATCGTTATTACCCCTAATCATCACTTTGCCATGGAATTGAATGGCTGTTATGGCTCTCTCTCATCAGCCCTTCATTGAGCAGATGTTCTTCCATGGCTCATTACAGGGCCCGGCATTTTATATTCTAGGCATGCCGTCCCCCGCCCCAAACGAGAGCTGTGTAGAGAGCAGATTTCAGCAGGGGATGAACAGTGCACACAGCCAGCTGACATGGGCACAGTCTCACGGGAATAAGACGTGGTCCTGAGCTCCTTTCTCATGCTGCAGCCCTGCAGACACCCTGGGGCAGAAGTGCGCAGCTGCAGTACACAGCGCAGCTCCATGACAGCGGTCAGGCAGGTACTCTAAACATACAACTATGGAGAAAAGGCAAGTCCCAGCAGTCCCACAGCTGCCACCACCTTCAGGATAGATAGCACCATTGGCCCTTTCTTCTGAAGCATTGTCTCCAAAGATGTGCCCTTTGTGGCCATTACTACAGCCCTAACCCATGAGCCCAGGTAGGGAGATAGAACTGTCTCCATTTTAAACAGGAGCAACGAGGCCAAGTGTCTTGGCCATGGCCATACAGTGAACCCATGAAAGGAGAGAACCCAGGAGTCCTGACTCCCAGTCCTCTGCTGCGAGCCCTGGGGAGGAACAAGTCAAGGAGGAACAAGCAGCAGGCAGTTCAAACTGGCGGGAGTTCAAACTGGCTCTGGCCTCTGGAGGCTCAGGTTGCTCTCTGTGTCATTGCCCCCCACCTCAGGGACACTGAAGCAGTAACAGGTTGTGCCTAAGTTGTGTGCCTGCCCCCCAGGTGGCAAAGCAGACGTGCCCGGGATGCCCCCACTCTAAACAACCTACCGTGGAGATGGAGAATGCCTGCTGCGGGTCTGGCACGCACACAAGTCCTGCCTTCTCCTCCTCCTCTGGGCCCCTGCCAGCCCCACATGCACGGGCTGCACAATCCCGCTCCTGCCCACCCAGAGACTCAGCAGGATGGACTCTGTGGAGTGGCCTGACCAGGGGGTCTTCCCCCAATGGCATGGGGGACCCCCTGGTAGGGACTGTTCGGGTGTGGCTAGGATGCACAGGTTGTGGGGCCATCTAGGGGACCTAGACACATCCTTCAAAGCCAAGGGGTGATGCGTCTAAACCCCTTAGGCAGCTGTAAAAAGAAAATAAAAAACAATCTCAGTTTACAGCTGGCTCTCTGCTATCTCCCGGGGCCCATGGGCAGCCACTTGAAGCACAGTGTAAGCTACAGCAGCCCTAAAGATGCTCTAACTCAATGGGGGACAGTCTTTTTGGCAGGTGTGCCAAAACTAAGCTGTGCACACTCCTTGATCGCCACTGCAAACCCCTTCCCTTGCCTGCTCTGCCTCTCTGCTTTCTGCTCCCTGCCGTGTGCTCCCCGCACAATCTGCTGCTTTGCTTTCCGCTCCCTGTCCTGTGCTCCCTGCCTGATCTGCTGCTCCGCTTTCAGCCGCCGTGCTGCCTGTCCTCTCCCCGATCTTCTGCACGCCACATGCCGAGGCTGGCCTTCCTGCTGCAGGTTGGCCACCTCTGGGAGGAGGCCCCTGGACTGGCCCAGAAGACGTGGAGCACAAAATGGAGCTGTTTCCCGCCCCCTTCCTTTCTCTCTTCATCCCCATGAACAGGAGCAGAGTAACCGAGTCACGTCTCCCACCCCTCATTCAGGTCTCAGCCATGCTAGACGTGCGCAGCAGCTCTTCACTTCTCGCCATGACTCAGTCGAGATCCTCATGTGTTATTGCCTGAACTGTCCTCTGTCAGAGTCTCAGTAATATTTTGTCTCCGTGGTGGCTAGAACAGAATGCAGGTAAAGCCTTCCAGCCATCACTAGGCCTGTCTGCGCCAGGTGTCATTTAAATCTGCGCGTCTCAGTGGGGGGCTTGAAATTTCCATTTGAATGGGAGGGAAGGCACCACAAATTCCAGCAGGCTGCAGTTCCTCAGTACGCTGCCAGTGCCGCAGGGAAGCAGCTCCCACGGCGAGCTCTGCCTCCCTGAGATGAATAGGAAGCAGGCGAGAGCTGCCTTAGCTTCTACGGTGGCAGACACTTGATGGCTGATGGCTCTGCCTCCAGCTTGACAGCAAGGCTGCGTCTTGCTGAGCTTGGCCGCTCACTTCCCATGAGTTTCAGATGAGAAACCCCAGTGCCCGGCTTGCCATGAGTTTCAGATGAGAAACCCCAATGCAGCGACTGGCTAAGCGCAATGATTCTCAACTTTTCCCAGTCCAGGAGCCCCTCAACCCCCCATCTTGTCTAGCCAGGGCACACCTCCCAGTTAGCAGTCTGGGAAAGTCAGGGAGTTCATAACTCCGCTCCCCCAGGCCGCAAGCCAATGCAGCTCTCCTGGGTTTCTCAGCAGGAGAAGAAATGTGCATCATCTGCTGAGCTCTCCCGTGGTAAATCCTGGGAGACCACCCAGTGGATCCTGGTGCTTCTAAGTAAACCCCAACCTCTTCTCGCACACTCAGAGCTCCTTCCCTTTTCACCCCCTCCACCTTATTTTCCCTCCCTTCTGCTGCACAGAAGACCTTGGGCCACGCTGATGGGGTACGATTCTGCAGATGCCTAGACCAGCAAGTGCTGTTTCCCATTAATGACAATGCTGCTCAGCTACCACCACCTTAAAAAAAAAATCAAAGAGCACCCAAAGGAACAGGCTCTTGGGCAGCTGCAGGAGGCAGGAATGTGATTTTAATGGAGGGCACTGGGGGTGGGAGGGGGGCAAGGCCATTACCAACCTTATCTGCCTTCTGTTTCCAGTGCCAGGTACATGTCTTGGCAGTAGCATAACTAACGTGGGAGGAAAGAGGGGCAATGGGAAGTGGGGCATCAAACCCTGGCATTGACTTAGGGTGAAGCACCAAAATAGCAGCTGCTATCGCTGCCAGTCTGGCCCAGTCACTGTCGCTGCCTTGTATGCTGCTGCCATACCCATGGCACAAAGCTGCCCAAAGTTATGCCTCTCTGTCTTGGATCTTTTCTCCACCATAAATACATAACAATATTTAATATTTAATAGAAACACAAGAAAACCCCAGGGCACCTACCAAAATGCAGCCCTCCATGGCAAACTCTACTCCCCCCAGGGAGAAGATGAGAGGACAGACGTCCGTGCCGGACCATTAGCCACGCTGAGCAACCCACCACCGGAAGCGTCTCAGATGCTACAGTGCTGAGCACAACAGAAGACCCTGTCTGAAAAACAAGTTCCAGTGAGGAAGTGGTGAATAAAGAGTGTTAATATGCACAAGCAGCTACATTTAGGGGGAAAAAAATGAAATCAGCTGGTTGTAATCTTGATCAATGTGTGTAATTAGACTGCAGTGGCACACACAGACTTGGCCATCTGGAGAGAATGCAAATGCTAACCTAATTAGGGGTTTTCATCAAAAATTAAAAAGGAACTGACTCTGGAGTTGTTGGGAAGAATTTCTGCCTTGCTAAGTGTATATATAGATCGCCGAGAAAAAACAAACTGCAAGCTCTTGAGAAGCTCTTAAGGAGTTGCAGATTCCTTTCAGAACTGCCACCAGGCACTGGGTCTCATCAAACACCTTCCTGGACTGAAGCCATTCCCGTTGCAATTCGGATACGAGGCAGGAGGAACGTTTATGTCCAGGTGGATGGTCCCGTGGAGAATTGAATGGGACCGAATCGCAGCACCGGGGAAGGTCAGACTCCGTTAACAACATAGAACAGGAGTGTTGCAAGGGACCTCCAGGGTCACCCAGCCCAACCCCTAGGCCAGTTCAGCCATCAGATCCTCATGCATCTCCCCAGTTCGGGGCTGGGAAGGTCAGTTTGGGAATGCGAGAGACATTGCTGCCTGCCCCTTTCCCCTACCCAGAGGCTGGGGCTGGGTCAGCGTTCCCACTGAGTCAGCCCTGAAACAATGTGATGCTGGGGGCTTTGAGGCATGGGTTTGGGACAAGAGGTTCAACTAAGGCCCCGGTTTCTGGTGGTTTTTACTCTCCATGATGTTTAGTAAGATTTTTCATGAGTCTTTTGGGATACCTACAAAATGTACCAGGCTGAGGGTGGGAGGATGATTCTAGGGCCTGGTGATATCCTATATGAAGCTATTTGCCACTATGTCGCCCATTCAGCTCTAGCACAGTCATGCACTATCCTTTGGCTCTTCAGAGTGCTCTGCAAAATGAATTGGGAGGGCTCAATCTACTGTCGAGCAGAAAGCACCTCTGACTCGAATGCAGACAAGTCTCCATCACCAGAAAGACAATGACGGATGACTTGCCTCTCCCAAACTCTGCAATGAGACTGATTGCTCCCTTTTGCTCCCCCCAAACCCCACCAGGCAATACCGAGGTGCACTGCTGGGACTCTCACCCAGCCACAGTCGGTTTTACCCCCAGTTTCCTTCACTAAGAGCCTGATCCATTGCTCACTGAAGTCTGTGGAAACCTTGCCTGGGTTTGGATCAGCCCCTCGTGGAGGGCTTCACACTCCAGGGTGCCCAGCCAGTGGCATGTAAGTGAATTTAAATCATTTAGAAAGGAAAAAATGCCTCCCTTTTCATGCGCTCAACCAGCCGAAGGTCTGTGGTACATGACAGGGGGGGTGTAAAGCCCCAAGCCATTACAGCTGTGCCAACAACCTCCCCCAGAGTGAATACAGCCTAGTACCCCTGCCTAAGGCTGCCCCTTCTGCAATTCATACTGCCGATCGCCATATGCTCATGCATCCATCCGCCCTTCATCTCCATGAACATGCATCCCAGGAGGTGCCCGAGCCACAAAGCTGAGATCCAGACCCAGATTTCTTCATAACCAGAGAGCATTTGGGTGCAGGGGGATTGTCTAGTAGCAACAGGGGCTGCGCCTTTAAAGGCTGTGCTCCCCGGACAGGGAATTTGGAGCTCATGCTGTTGCAACGCTCGCCCTGTTGGCACCGGATACAGAACAAGGAAGGTTTCTTTCTTGCCAGAACCTGGAGCAGGCAGAGATCACCAAACACCATCAGTTTGGCCCATTCTGGAGATGGGGGGCAGATGGGACATTTGAACAGAGGCACAAACTTTGCCCGATTCTGGGATGGAGAATGGGGTTCAACCCAACACACAGGCACAGGGACCAGTAGCTGAGCCTTGACTCCTCAGAGTTGCCTGGGTTTTTCTTTGGATCCATTTCTAGAGACTCCAGGAAAGAGGTGAAACCTTTGTTTGCCCATTCACTTAAGTAAGAGACTGTTGCTGGACCATTTGGATGCATTTTAACTCCCTGCAGGGTTGTTCCAAAGAGGACGGAGCTGGGCTGTTCTCTGTGGTGGCAGACGACAGAACAAGGAGCAACGGGCTCAAGTTCCAGCAAGGGAAGTTTCGGTTTTCCCAATATCCAAGCTTTTTTTCACTAGGAGAGTGGTGAGGCGCTGGAACAGGTTACCCAGAGACATGGTGGAGTCTCCATGCTTGGAGGTTTTTAAGACCCAGGTAGGCAAAGCCTCGGCTAGGATGATGTAGTTGGGGCTGGTCCTGCTTTGAGCAGGGGTTGGACTAGATGTGACCTCCTGAGGTCCCTTCCAACCCAAATTTTTTATGATTCATCCTACTGTCATCGAACACCTACACTGCCCCACTGGCCATGCTGAGACCCGTCTGGGCCAGAAAGGAGCACCTGCTCAACCTTACAGCGTATCACTCACACAACCCCTTCTCTATCAAAATCTCTACTCCGATGGGGAGAACAAAGCCCTTTCTCTTGGGCCTGTGGTGAACAAGATTTGTAGGCCAACTCCCTCCATCCAAGGGAACAGCCTTCTGACCCCCCACCCCATCAAAAAATCTTCATGTCATATTAATTACCTTGTGATACGGACCATCCCATCAGCAAAGCCATGAGCTGCTCGCCCTCTTGTGACCAGATGCTGATGCTGCAAGAAGAGTCAGGCTTTTAACTCATGCAAGAGTAGCAGAGAAAATAGGCATAAGGTTCCTCAAGCCTCTGAAGGACGGCGTGGGTGAGACAGGGAAGGTGTCCAAGCTCATTCAGCAGGTTGTCTCTGATGCTGCTGCTGCTTCGGCTGCCAGCAGCTAGCCCCACTTCTCATGCTGGGTTTGTGTGTGGCGGAGAGGGAAGCAGACTGAAGGCTTGTCTGGAAGGGGACACTTGGAAAAATGAAGCTGAATTAACAGATAGCTTGATCACATTTGCGAGTGAATGCAGATTCAGGATGAATGGGATTTTAAACCTCAGAGACTATTTCTGAAGAACTTCACGTGGCGGTTAGCCCAGAGAAGCTAACCTGGATCTGCTATCCCTGAATGGTCTCAGATGCTACAGTGGTCTTTAAAGTAGATCAGGTGCATCGCACTGAAGTTTTGGAATGGGCATGCTCATTTTGAACAGCGATGCTCTTAATCTGAATTAAATTAAACTGAATGAAAGCCGCTTTAAATTCTGAAGAAGACTAGCTGGGAAGAGTTTATCTAACCCATTTCTACACAAGCAACCACAAGCAGTTCATCTGGTCTGTTCCTTTCGCAAGTGCTGGCCCGGTCTAGGGATGGGTTTGGGGTGTTTAATGGAATAGGATGGGATGGAAAAAAAAATCAGCTTGGTTCACAAAAGGCCCAGTCCTGCGGGGTGATGATTAATGGAGTTCTTAATGGAAGCTGAGACCCTGCAGAGGGTGCCAGGCACCTTCCAGCGTGGGGTCTAACACTCAGAGATTTTCTTACCAGGAACCAACATCCTTCCCACAGGAAGCAAATGCTGAATGAGGGCAGCCATCCTTCCTCATAGCCATCAGCATCAGCTGGAGCTAACCTCCTCCAGCACTGCTGCACATCTCATGCTGCGTCTCCAGTTGCCGAAGCTGTGAGGCACTTCCATATAAACCCTGGGGCAGAGGCAGCTTTCTTCCATAACTCGTGAAGCCGGTGCATACGCCTGAGGCATGCAAATCATCCAAATCCCCTGGTTCGAGATACCCCTGCTCCCAGCCCCTTGCTATTAGGGCTGTAGGACACAGGGAAACCGAGGCATAGGGATTTGACCACCCACCTGAGGTCACAGCAGTGACCCAGTGAAGAATAGCTCCCAGATGTCCCCAGTATGCCCAGTAGTCAATATTGCTGCATGCCCAATATGCCCAGCGACCAATACTGCTGCATGCCAGTCACTGGTGGTTTTCCAGCCCCCATAATATCAAGCTGCAATGCCTAGAGCCAGGTCACTGGAGCAGGGGCCACGCTTTGCTTCAGGCCTGTGAGGCACCATGTAGGCATCCGGTGTTAGTGGGATACATTGAGTAAAGCCCTAAACGTCTGTGAACTACCAGTGCAGGATGGCCTCCTCCTATGGCAAACAGCATAGCCCAGACCATCCACTGCTTGTTGCACCCAGCAAGGGTGAGGAGGCTTCTGCTCAGCATCCTCTAACAAGCCCTGCCGAGGCTGCGGGCTAAGGCTTCCTCTCACCACGAGATGGCAGCCGGACGACACACTGGATGCAGGCAGCAGGGCTTGGAGAGAGGCACATGGGCATGGCTGAACTCCTCTGGCCCACACGCGGATTAAAAGCAGAGTGGTGGGAGTCTGGAGCAGCCCCGTCTCTGTCTGAGGGCAAGCGGTGTTTTGGCCAAGAGCCTTGTCGATCTACATGCAAGGTTTTTTGTGTGCGGGTCAGGATTCCCAGAGCCGGCAATTATTGGGAAAACTCTCTTGCCCTGTACAGGAAGCGGCTTTGAGAGATTTGGAGGAAAACAGATACGTTTTCTGCATTGTCCACCCTGTCTCACTGTGGGCCGCTGCATTGCAGCTGCTGGCATCACCTTTCCGAGGGGAGTGGAGAGGCCAGGGACCACGGGGGCTTGAGCTCCTCTTGCCACAGCCCCGTGGTCCAGCAGTATGGATGAAGTTCTCCCTGCCCCTGCTCTGGGGCTTTCCAAAGTTATAGATCCAGCACCAGATCCGCACACCCACCCTGGAAGGACAGAGGGGACTGGCTCTGACCCGACCAAGGACAGACCAGCCCCGAGGAGCTCCCGCCCTGCTCCGAGCCCTCCCCGGGCCTCCTCTCTCCACCAGCCCCAGTGCAGCGCCAAAGAG